TCTGGGCACAGCCCTCCCCACGCAGCCTCGCAGGCCCCAGCGCAGGGAGGTAATGGCCTCCCTCAACCTGGCAGGCCCCTCGCTGACTCCCACTCCATGTGCAGCCTCCTAACTGCATCAGGATTAGGACACTAATATATAACAGCGCAGCATATATAACACCACAGTGTATTGTGCAGCAGCAATGACCACACACAACTGGCCCACGAGCAGAGTCCGAGGTGCTGGCTGCCAGCCTGGAGGCCGGTGGACCAGCCTTTCCCTTGTGTTGCAGCCCCCGGCTGGGCTGCAGATGTCATCTGGCCCAGATGACCGCACAGGTGCTGAGAAAAACCCGGTCAAAAGGCTCACCAGGTCAGGGAGGACAACAGCCACCGTCCCCTCGTCCACAGGGAATCATCCCTTCCCCTGAGCACATAAGCACCTCCCTGTTTTTCTATTTTTTTCCTTCTGTTTGTATTATGGACTTGTGAATGTAAAGACTGATAAGATATGGTTGTGAGTCATATCAGGACCTGAACTGGCCACTTTCTTTGGCTGTTTGCATTAAACCTTTTTGCTTGTCCTTACTTAGGAGTAGGTAAGGGGTGTCAAAGCTTGGGTGAGAAGATTCTGTCCAAAAGAACTGAACTGAGGAAAAAATAGAGCTGTAGAGTCAGAAGAGAAATTTGAGATGCAAAGCCACCTCCATCCAGATGACAGTATCAGTAATCACATGTTAAGCTGTGTTGCCTAGGGAATGGCAGAAGAAACATCAAAGTTGTTGGGTATGGGTGTAATAGAGTTGGGATCAATGAGGAAAAGGAATGAGAGGCGAGTTGTTTATTTGAGGGGAGTTTGGGCAGAGGAAAGAAGATTCAGGGGTGGTGAAAAGGTGGGTTCAAGAAAAGGAAAAGAAATGGGCAATAAGGTATAAAATCATAGAATGCTTTGGGTTGGAAGGGACCTTTAGAGGTCATCTAGCCCAAATCCCCTGCAGTGAGCAGGGACATCTTCAACTAGACCAGGTTGCTCAGAGCCCCGTCCAACCTGACCTCAAATATTTTCAGGGATGGGGCCTCCACTACTTCTCTGGGTAATCTGTTCCAGTGTTTTAGCACCCTTATCATAAAAAATGTCTTCCTTACATCTAGTCTAAATCTACCCTCCCTTAGTTTAAAGCCATTGCTCCTTGTCCTATCCGAACAAGCCCTGCCGAGAATATTTTCCCCATCTTTCCTATAAGCCC